CATTTTTTCTTGCATTTCATTTAAACTTATTGGTATCTGTATTTACGAGGGCTATTTGCCTAAGGGAAGGGATGCCTTCTTGGAGGACTTTCTAAGGGAACTGGTTCGTATATAAGTTACACATGGGGAAAACCACGAAAACACCCATGCAGCCAGCCCGTTCGCGGGATTCGACCCGGACCGACTACCAGTGTTCAGCGACTTTACCGCTCGGCCGCTGGTGGGCCTAAACTTATTGAATTAAATCTACTTCGCCGACAGTGCATAAACCAAAACAGAATAAATGTATTCTTTAAAATTAACTCTACTATTTGTTTACCATACGACACTTGGCGCTATATTCCTTAACAGTAGATATTTCGTTCATATATAACTGATAATGCACAAATCTATATCATTAAAAGAAATTATCTAATCGTTGCCACATTTTCGTTCAATACTATAATAAAGCTAGAACTATGTAAAAGAAATTAAGCAAACAAACAAAAAAGAAACAGTTTTTTCACAGACGATGACTATTTCTCATTCATTAACTCAGTCCTCACTTCGCGAGAAGGCAAAAACATAAAAACTCAAAATATCTATATTAAAAATTAAGTAATCTTAAACACTTATGTCCTCGAAAAAATCCAGAAATATTAAGCATGATTTAATGGCAATAATAATGAAGGCTTTCTTTGTTGTTGCAAGCTAATTTCTTTATATTGCAACAAATCCACTGTCTCTGTTTCAATTAAACAATCAATGGCCCCATCAAAAAAGGCTTGCGGCACTAAACAACTTAAAATTGCTGATAATTCTAAAATATTGCACACAGATTTGCTAAGGCAAAAAATCCTTAACCGAGATAAAACAACATAATTCAAATCATTTTTAAAGCAAAAAATGTACAATTTACAAACATAAAGAAAGAACAATTACTGAGCCGGGTAACAGAGTGGATATATATATAAATATATTTATATACGTTGGTGGCGGATTGCACCAAATACGAGGTGCATATCTACATGTTATAGCAGTCCTATATACAAAACTTCAACATTCTGAGGCTATTCGTTTTTTAGTTATGCGAGATACGTACATACGCACATACGTTCGTACAGACGCCCCGAAAAATTCTTTTATTCTGTCCTTACGTACAGATATCACGCAAAAGCATCTTTAAATTGCATTCAATAACGGTTAAAATGGATATTTTTCTTGAAATATGCTGCCTGAAACTTTTCGCGATTACAATACTTCCTTTTTACTTCGTACAAGGAAGTGAAAAAACTATTAAGTTTAACATTCACTATTATATTTTTGTAACAAGTACTCTGAAAATACCAAAACGGGCTAGTTTCGATTTTGCGTGACGTTGTCAGCACCATGCTAGTTTAGACTTTAATAAATACTGTGGTCTCGTAATTATACTTAACTGTATCATCAATTTTTATGAATTTCTGCTATTTATATGTGAACTGTTTTGAACATTCTATCTGAGATAAAATAAAATCAGCTTTTTTATTCTTTCTGACAAACAATTATGTTTTTTTTTTTTTTTTTTTTTGTTGTTTTGTACAATTAAGAATTAACGATATTAGAGGGTAATATGACGTATGTTTAATGTTGAATTCTGTCTTAAAACGTTCTCCAATTTCTTACTACGGGCAATGTTTCGAGAGATAAACACCTGCATTTATCTGTATAAGACTTCAACGAATATTTAACATAACTTTACTTAAAATAGTATGTACTTACAAAGTAAAGCTTTGAAGAGGATTCGAATATACTAAAAGTGTAAGCTACTTTACACACTATAGCCTTGAGTAAATAAATCACCATACAGTATTTTTATAATAAAAATGTATTTAATGCAAAAGCTGAATACATGCTGCTTCACAAATAGTAGTCATATTTATGGAGGCTGACAATGCTATAAAATATTCAGGTGCATTCTCTGGAGTATATCGATTTTACTGGAGCGTATTTATGAAGAAAAGTTCTACGAAAGACCTTTTCTTCATCCTAACTAGCTCTTTAGTTCTTCATTTTTATGGGAAGGGATTAGAAAAATACAAATACTATAATACTGATATTTATAAATAGAATTCAATCTTAATGGAGGCATTTGCTAAAAGAGAAAATATTTTTCTAGAGATTTAGTAGTCATTGAGAATTTTCCGAATAATATATTCTGCAGAAAGAAATAGAAAACTTCGTATGTTTGAAAAATTATTTTTAGAATGAAATTATTACCATGTACTCGTATGTTTTGGAAGATAAAAGATTAAAGTTTGGTGTGCCAGGTATTCTATGTTATACGCTTTTCGTAACAAACTTAGATCAAATCTATAACAGTTTCTTGCATTTCAGCTACACAAAAGCTGTATACACTTAAGGAAAACTTCACTTTTGAAGATTTCCAAATATGGTGAATAAACACAGTATAGTAATGATATAACTGTAACTAATTCTCAGAAAATCGCAATAGGACAAGAGAAAGTGCAATTTTCTCGTGCAACTTACGAATGCATCCTGCCTGGGAAAGAGCCGGTCAATTTAGATACTTAACTTAATTAATCACAAAATTAATTATTAATTAAGATAGAATTCGTCAGCTCGAATGCATCTTTTAAGCGATAACTCTCTAAGACAACGTTTTTATATATTGAGTGCCAAGCTTTGTTTTGTCTTTCTTTCTGTTTAGTGTGCGATGTCCTATTTTAACGAAATGCTGGCACACGGACTTTCGCGTAGAATTAGATAAAAGATAACTTTGATAGAAGAGTTGAATTTTTAAAACAGTATATCGTCGGTCAAAAAAGACTTGGCTCGATCTGAACGACACATAATGAGTTACCGGTGATAATGATACCTAAATGAATAATTCCCGACTCAATGAATCATAGACATTCTAGAAGTCCTTTCTGAAATACATATATAAAACGGTGACTGAATTTCTGCATAGTCTTCCTTATTTCCTGTCATGTCCGTAGCAAACTGGTCGCTAATTCTTGGAAAGTGACTTAATACATTTTCTATCAATTAATTTACCGAATAAAATTTCAGTTTGGAATATGTCGTCTTCCTAGATCTTGCAATATGTGCGAACAATGAAATATTCTCAGAGAAATTAAATTTTAATTCTTAAAAAATTTACAGTTTCAATTGAAAATCATATTTATCAACCACCAATTAAATTAATGTACAGCAATAATATGTTAAAAGATTCATTGAGCATGAAATTCGACTGTAACCGGATTGTTAGCTTCTCTTTGAGAGTTAACTATATATTTACTTTTAATTCATTGTTATTTAATTCCAAGTCAAGCTGTATGAAAATAAAAATGCTATGATGTGTTATCTTTATATACAGTTTTTATGCTTCATATTATTACAACATAATTTAAAATATTAAATAAAATCAGAGTTTATACATTTTCCCTTTCAAAGGGGGCCAAACATCTGAAATGTTTGATTTTTTGTCCGTGTTTTATCGAGACTCCTAGCTAAGGTTTTCAGCGCCCGGGGACTGAAAAGACTGGGGACTGAAGATTTTGCTATTTGCTAAGAATGGAAAATAGTTAATTATAAAATTTCATAACATAAGTTTGACTTCCCCTGGATGCTGCGCTTATGAACAGATGTTCCCTCTAGCTACGCCCCTGGTTTTTATCATTTGGGTTTTAGCAAATGAATCGTTTTTTGGCCTTTCCCACCCCCATGAATTGCTATTAAAATGTTTACTGATTTAGCTATTAGTCTGCAAACTACAATTTTAATTTTTATGCTGAAATTAAAATTCTCTTTATCCTTGCCACAAGTCTCTCAATTAATACCTTATTTTTCATTTCTTCGGTAAAAAAAAATTATTTTTTCGGAAACATTTTATATTAGATCAGATATTTATTTACGACAGAAAAGTGTCTGTTTCAAATATGTTAATTTTTTAATTACTGGACGGATAACTAAAATAGATCGGAGCGTCATTTTATTTTCATTAAAGAAAAAATAAATCAGCTCAGTGATATCAATAAATACTTATTTTTGTGCGAATGCTAAGTCAGCTAATGCATTTTGTTTCCTTTAATGCACAAACAGAGACTTGCAAAGGAATATAAACAATTAAAATGAACCATATGATGATAGTCACGGTCAGATTGTACCATAAATATTTAATTAATTTAACTGACTAATATTAATTATATAACATCATTTTTGCTTTTCAAATATTGTGGTGAAGATTTAGATTAAAATTCAGTATACAATGTGTTTAAATTGTTTTTAATGACATAAAATTAATTAGGCAGGTAATTAAATATTTCGAGTTGACTTTTTTCTCTTTGTTACTATTACAGAAGAGCATTAAACTATACATTTATTTCATTAAAAACAAAAACTAATTTTTTATTTATATCAAGTTTCATATTTATTACAGCTTGCATTTATGGAAAATTTTTACGAATTACCATTATTTTCTTTATGTTTCATGATCAATTCAAGTTTTTTAATATAATGTAAAGGTGAATATTTAATCATTTGCTAATTAATTAAGCTATTGATGAAATTTATTTGTTATTTGCTATTAGAGAAATTATTTTCAGTCCCCCTGCAAGAAAAACTTAAGTGTTGTATCTTTATGATAATCATTATTTTCTAAAATGTCAATTGTTAAAATTTAGAAAAAAGAAACTTCCTGTTGAATTTACATTGTAAATCTAAGCATCCGGTAACTAGGATTCTGTTAAATAATATCGTAGGTTATAGTTTCCTAATAACCTAGTTTTAACTGTTTTTAATATCTGTGTATGGTTTTTACTGTCATTTGTGCATTCATTATAATCCTTCCCATCCGTTATAGATAAACCTTGAATTAAGTAAAGTGTTTTTTTCTTTTTGCAAATAGCAATATTTTATTAATATTATCAGATGTTAGTAGAAAAATGTATTTTTGTTTTCACATAGCTATGCAGATAAGAAGATAATTTTCTGATTAAAATTCATTATATTTATTTTAGATCAGAGCATGGAAGTCAAAGCTCCAGAGCAGGCCTCGCGAAACTTGCTAGACTTCTGACGCCAAGAGAAAAATCAGTTGCTGGAGACAGGCCATCCAGTCATGGATCTGACAGTTCTCTGGCGCCGGACGTGTAAGAACAGAAAATCTGACACATTTTCTTATTAGTTTTTTCCCCTGTAATATTTCTGACAAACGTTTGTCAAAGGATTAAACAGACGGTGCAAGAAAGGTTTTCAATAGCATTATTAGATAATTATGTGTTCCAAAAGTCAAGTCTAGCCAGCAGTGTACGGTAAAATGGATGGTCTCTTTATAACCGTTTAATCCATCTTAAAAGTTTCATTAAATTAGTTTCTAGGATATGAATTATTTCCCTTTTTTCTTTGCTTTGTTCAATATTTCAGTTATTTGTCTTAAAAGCTGCTGTTTAATCTAAAAAAAAGACACAACAAATTCGTTCTTCCTGAAAGAATTATACTAAGTGTAATAGAATAGTAAAAGCACAGAACACATGTCTGTTGAGGAAAGAATGGGGTGATGTATTTTCCCCCCTGACTTCCATAAGTCTATTATAGTTGAGTGGAGAAAACTCTAATTTTTAGGCATAATACTAATATGTAAAATATAACACAATGACTGATAAACAAGCAATTATCAACATAAAACTCCCTTGTGCATATTGTAATGGACGCAGCGTTTTAAAATTAGAGTTAACCTTTTCTTTATTTCTAAGGTATAAAGCAAAAATAAAGAGCAAGAAATGTGTAATGTCTACAGTTTCGTAGCTGATATTTTCCTTGATGAGAGACAGCCCCTTAAATTTCCCAAAAGGAGTTCAGCTTCCCTAAAATTATCTCATCCTGTAGGAAAATTTTTTTATAAGCCGAAAATCGTGAAAGGAAAAAAATCAATCTCAAAGCATTGCAGTGTGCAGTCTGAAAACATTCTCATTATATATGATGTTAAAAAAATTGAACAAAAAATCTGATGTGTACACCACATGACTTCCTTGTACGGAATATTAAATTATACGCATTTTTTCTTGCATTTCATTTAAACTTATTAGATTGAATTCAACCTACTTCACCGACAGCGCATAAAGCACAATACAATAAATGCATTCTTTAAAATTCACTTTGTTTACCATAGCGACACTCTAGCGCTAGGTTTACTTAACAGTATTATATTTTGTTCATATTATAACTCAGAACACACAAAATTTATATCATTTAAACATTATCTAATCGTTGCCACTTTTATTTAAATACTATAATAAAGCTAGAACGATGATAAAAGAAATTAAACAAAACACAAAAAAGAAAACAGTTTTTCACGACAGTCACTATTTCTTATTCTATTAATTCAGCTTCACTCGCGACAAGTAAAAATACATAAAACTCAAAATATTGCATTAAAATTACGAAGTAAATCTTACACGCTTATTTCCTCGAAAAAATTCCAGAAAGGATTAAGCATGATTTAAATAATAAATGAAGCGTTATCTTTGTTGTTGAGAAGCTAAGTTTCTCTAGTTGGCAACAATCCGCTATCCTGCTGTTTAAATGTAAAACAAGAGCAATGGCCGCCATCAAAAACATATTAGGCTTAGCGCACTTAAACAATTTTAAAATTGTTGATAATTCTAAAAATATTGCATACAGATTTACTAAAGGCATGAAACCTTAACCGGAAGATAAGAACAAAATAATTCAATTATTTTTAAAGCAAAAAATGTACAATTTACAAAATATAAGAGCAAGAAACTGAGACACTGAGCCCGTAACAGAGTGGATATATATATAAATATTTATATACGTTTTGGTGCAGCCGATTGCAACCACAATACGAGGTGTACATCTCAGTTATGCAGTCCTATAAAAAATTTCAACGTTCTGAGGCTACTCGTTTTGAGTTAGCGCGATGTACATACATAGGTTCGACAGACGCCGAAAATTCTCTCAGAATTAATTTAAAGCAGTTTTAATTTTTTTGGAGAACGAACTTTTTTTGTCCTTACGTACGATATCACGCAAAAACATCGTTAAATTGCATTCGATAGCGGTCAAAATGGATATTTTCATTTAAATATGCTGCCTGAAAACCTTTCGCGTTTACAATACTTCCTTTTTACTTCGTACAAGGAAGTAAAAATGTCTAGTATCAAAACGAAATTCCATGTCAAGTATCTTTCATTAATTATAAATTATTATGATTTAAGCTTTTACTATAATTTCTTCTTTTCGCATTCCTCACCCAGAATGTAAATTCGATTTGTTTATTTAAGCTGATTGTTCTGATTCTTTAGAGAAGAACTTTTAGCAATCGAGCCTTGCTGTTAGCATTTTTGCTAAGTCTGCTTAAAAGTGATATTCTGGCTTCAGCATTTTCGCTAACTGATGTTTTAAATGCGGGCCGGTAAAATATCTGAGCTAGCTTAAATTTAGTCTTTTTAGTGAGTAGTCTTGAACTCCATTATCCACATCTAAATTGAACTATCTGTTATGTTAATTTCAAGATCCAGAAGTTTTCGCCAGTCTTTTGTGATATTAAGATTAAATAAAAAGTTTATTTTTCCTGTAAATAAATAAATCAATCAATTTGTCTAATAGAGCGTGCAGGACTTCAGCTTCCCAGTTATAAGGTATCTTATACCTCCTTTCCGCATGCCTTCCTGGTCCAATTGGAAGCGTACTCGACGCATATACGAAAGGTCCAGGTTTTGAGTCCCAGCGACGGCACTGCAGATTCTACACGTCTCTTGCTCCCCCTCCCCCAAAAAAAATGCGCCTAGTGACTCTACACTGTTACAACAGCAACATTATATTTTGTTTTTCTTTTAATCTTTTTCCAAAGGTTAAAGCAACCTTTTTATAATGTCAGTATAAACCAACAGCTTGTGCAACAGACGAAATTTCCACCACTCGTGGATTTTTACATTAACATAACAGAGAGTCACAATTAAATATTGACAATGTAGTCTAAGACTACATATTAAATAGACTAATAATGATCTGGCTAAGATATTTTACCGGCGCGCATTTAAAACATCGGCTAGAGAAAATGCTAAAACAAGACTATCACTTTTAAGCAGATATGACGAAAATACTAACAGCAAGACGCGATTGCCAGAAGCTCTTCTCTAAAGAATCAAAACCTTCAATAACATAATTTTTATTTCAAACAATATGATTTTCATTTCGAATACAGAAAGGAGAAGCTGTAGTAAAGACTTAAACCGTAATAATTGGTTAATTAACATAAGATACTTTACATCCAGTCTTATCTTAATTTTCAGATTTCAGTGTAACTTCCAAAAACAATTTTAAACCGAGTAGTTACAATAAATAAACAAGAATTAATCCATCAGAAATTAAAGATAAAAAAATAAAATCTTGTATTTAAAATAAGTGGTCAAATTGCAAAGCTTAATAGCTGAAAATAACTTTACTTCGATATTATTTCTTTGCAAATTAACGCCACATGGAGACTTTACTGATTTCGTATAAGGTTGCTTACAGTTTTTACTTTTACTTTGATGATATTTAAATCATTAACATGATTACAAATATATTAAAGAAAAGAGACAAGGAAATGAAACCTTTTTATAAAAAGAAGTATTGTGTTCAAAAACCGCAGACGATAAAAAAAAACCTTACATTCTTGATTTTAATGAAGACTTTTTAATGATTTTAAATGTATTTGAAGTATCAAGATTTGTTTACCTTTCTGTTAACTGCATTTGATCATGCAAGATAAAAGAACATTATCATCCTGATATAAAATAGCTGATAAGCAAAGCAGTTAATTATTATTGTTTAAATTCACATCGTATTGCAGTCCAAGTTCCCGTTTTTTCTTACCATTTAGCATATCTTTATCCAACTCATTATCATGGAAAGTTGGAAATTTGCATGCTCACTTTTAATAAGAAAACGATCAATACCTCACTAAATTAATAAAGTATTGTATTCGTGTGTTCTCGTGAGCTTAAATGACGGTATCTTGTAATTGAAATATCTTTGCATGTCATGAACTCTAATGCAATGAGAAATTCCCACGCAAATCTATTAACCTAAATGCATGCCAAGTTACGCTGAAATTTGCTTATACCTATTGAATTTCAGAGCATGGAGAAATCGCTTCAAGCTAGGGTTTAATCAAATTGAGAGAACATGAACAGTTTTAATGTATGCTGCCGTGAAGCATTTGAGATACTGTTCTTGATGATAGCATACCAATGCCTTGCTTCTCTTCTCTTATCTCATAGAAATTAGCTAATTTAAACAGAACTTGTTTCATTCACTTTATTAGCTTCAAATATTAAGGATTTCACGCTGAAACGAATTCCACGTGTATTCAAATGCCATAGATGTTCAATACATTTTCTTTTAGTGTTGCAGGGTTTTATTTTATTTTCCTAACAATTAATTTATGGTTTAGAAACGGCGTTTCCTTTACACCCTCATTTTCATATATACACTTTCCTACCAAAATGTGTTTCCAGTTTCAAGCTTGATGCAGAGTGGGTTAGAAACTGCTATTTAAGAGGAGGTATGAGTTACTTCTGACAAAGAGTCTTCTGACTTTCGGCTACGTTGTTGCTATAGTTCGACCGTCTCATCCGCGACCATGAGCGCAAACACGCATGCGCCATTCGGACCGAATTATTCTCCAAATAGGGTGGAAGGATGTGAACTTTCTTTCCCTACAGTATAGCTCTTTCTGGAGAAGAGAAGACCTTTCACGTCGCAGCAAGTAGTAATACTGCCCCTTTTGGGTGAGTCTATGTGTTTTGGCAGAATGCCAACCAGGGTTGCGCTACAGACGGTCGAACTATACTAGTTAAAGCTTGCATATTAATTACCTATTAATCTACGGCGGTAATATTAGCCAAAAAGTCAACTACGAGTTAAATAACTCTATGAAGCTTCGGTTGAGTATTCAAGTTATAATTCTACTTTTACAGCTTTCATACTTTCTTACTTATTTGTACTTCCAAGGGGGTGATCTGTGAATAAGTTTGAGTTAAAAAAAAGGTTTCTAGTACATTCTAGCAGTCAAGTAATTTTAATTTAGCTAGAACGTGTCTTACTCTAACAAAGACTTTTTCGTAATGGGATGAATAATCGCGATAAAAATGAGAATTTTTTTTTTTAATTTTGAAACTAAATTTTATGTAATAATATCCAGAAACGCTGTGGAAGTTATGAATTATTTAACATATTTTTTACATGTGATAGCAGTTAAACATATTTCTTACCTAAAACGGTGAAATATATATCTCAAAATTCAGATGCTAAAATGTTGATCAATATATAATATTTACGTCTTATTGTTTCAATTATTTGCATTTGGATCACATAACAGACTTGAAACTGCCTATGGATTATGTGTTAAGTTTTATTATTATTATTTACGTGTTCCGTCCTAAGACTTTACACGGAAGAGAGGGATGCCTTCGTGGATGAATTTCTAAGAGAAATTGGCTCGTATTAGCATGCTACATGCGGAGAAAACCACAAAAAAAGCAACCGTGCAGTCAGCCGGTTCGCCGTATTCGAACCTTGGACCGAACTACCAGTGTTCCGGGAATTTACCGCTTGGCCGCTGGTGGGCCTGTGTTAAGTCCTATAAACGAAGCTTTTTTCTCTTGTTTACTGGTTCGCTTCATGAATCTTTACATCATGCAAAATATTTCTGAAATATTCCTGAATACTTAGAAGTCTATTGAACTAAGGCAATACCTTTCGTAATTTAAGTGTTGTTTCAGTGCTGAGTAAGACCCTAATGTTCTAATATATCGGGACTTCCGATATGCCAAGTATCTGCTCCCCTCCTTTGAATTAAAAAAAAATGCATTCACATCTTTACCTCACTTATGAAAACGTATAAGGTATTTTCTCCATCCTTTCCGCGTGCCTTCGTGGTGTAATTGGAAGCAGACTTGAGGCGTATTCGAGACATACATGGTTCAAGTCCCGGCTAGAGCACTGAACATTTTTCACGTCTCCATTTTCAAAAGAAATTTAATGACTTCACAAGTGGCGCCAGAACTAAAAGATGGTGGACGACAATTCGTCACCACCAGGATTTGGCGACAGGTTCCCCAATCACCAGTCGCCTTTTGAAAGGGGCAGTGTGTAAGGTATTTTCTATCTTCTTTCCGCATGTCTTCGTGGGGTGATTAGAAGTATACTCAACGGGTATTCGAGAGATCCAGACTTCGAGTCCCGGTGAGAGTAATGACCATTTTTCACGTTTTGCTGCTTCAAAAAAGCCTAATGCTTCTACAAACTTATTATTATCTTTTTATAAATTTTTTAATCATTTCAGTTGGTGTGACAGATTTAAAGAAGCACACTTATAGTATCAGCTTTTTCTATTGTATCTTTCTTTTTTTTTTTTTTTTTTTTTTTTTTCGGGATTCTGCGTGCCTTTCTTTTACACAGCTTTTCACTCAGATGATTCCAAAACGAATGTTACCAAAGCTGAAATTTTATCTACATTTTTGCATACTGGATCATACATATGGCATTTTAGTTTAAAAGGGAAGTTTCTTTAAATACATCAAAAACGGCTTTTTTTTTTTATTAAAATTGGGTTTTTAAAAAACAACATCGACATTTGTTTTAAAAAGTATTTTAAAACAAATCTTGCGCATAAATTCTTTCTAGAATCAGAGTTATAAATAATTAAAAATAATTCTAAGCCGTTACCACTAAAGAGCCTTTATCACTTAATTAGTTGATAGCTAATATTTGCCTGTAAGCAAATTCCTCATACGAAATTCCCGTGACTATAAATAAAATGCCTCGATTTACACTATTATACGCATTTAGTTACAGATAATAAAAAAAATTAACTTGTTAGCATATTTCAATTTTGATTTCATAAAAATGTGATTTTACTGTTTGAGGTCATGATTTCTCTGAATTTGCTGATTAGAATTTCAAAAAATTTTGTTTAATTCCTGAATACTGTATCTATATAAAATAGCTAGTTATTGCGATTCTGATGTAAAGATGTCAAAATTATAATTAAATTTAAAGTCATATCAGCACCTCAATTTTCATAGATGTGAATATAAAACAACTAAGTATTACTGTTCTCGCATAAAAAGTTAAGAAATTACTTTTAGATTTTATGTTAAAAAATAGCCAACTTGGGGGTGTCAAAGAATGACAGAAAGAAATGCTAGTCAATGGGTTTTAAAGTAACCTTTTTAATTATCCATTAGTTTTCTAATTTGTAAAAGAAAATACTAGCTAACAATAAAAATTTCGTTATTTCTTTACCAATAAAGCTGCCTGAAAAGCGTATTACAATTTTACGTCGATGTTAGAAAAGGTATTTCATTTTCTATTTTATTTAAAATATTTTATATCTGGAAGAGAAAGTAAAAGTAGCAAATACAATATCCAGACTGAGAAAAATATATAAACTGAATAAAACTGAGAATATAAACTGAATAAAACTGAGAATATAAACTGAATAAAACTGAGAATGCATAATTTCACGATCATAGACTAGTCAATAACAGAGATACTGAGCTTCACACTGCGTTAAATGTTAATATATTTTGACATTTTAAAGATAATTGATTCCTCAAAAAAAGATAATTGCGCTTTATACATCTCTTCATCTGAATGCTTATCCTGATAACTAAATGTGTGCTATGAAATTGTACCGAAACTGCATAAATTTAATTAGTTTATCAAAATTTAAAAGCATTGTTCTCAGTCGCAGTTTAATAAAGGCTGAATTCCTTTCTTTTCAGGGTGTCTTTACGTAAAGCCAACAGCATAGACAGTTTGCTTGAATCTTCAAGCTCGGGATATAATTTGGACCTTGGTACTTCCAGTACTGGTGGTATCTCTCCTGTCACTCCGGGATCTGTGGGTAAAACTCTGCCTGCATCTCCAAGTGTGCCCGCCAAGTTAGAGTCCCATAAACGAGGAAATGGTTCTACAACTTCTCCAACGGCATCTAACAAACATTCCAAAGGTATGTGAACATTTCTTTACTTGCGGGAATGTTTTTACACTTGGAATAAGCATGGGTAAAGTCATATATTAGATCATCTTTAATCATGCATTAAAGTAATTTTAATATGAAAATGTATTTAAATTCCATAACAAGGTTCTGAATATTCATTATGCAGATACAGAAGATGGTGGAAACAATTATGAATCTCGAATTAAGAATAAGTACCATTGTGTTATCTGAAATGACATCTATTTACCATCTGTATATGAAATGATTTTTTTTTAATTTTAATCATTTACATTGTATCTGGCTTTTAGAATTTACATAATGTACAAAGATAAAACAATTTAATGTATGTAAGAGACTTAATTTAACTGCGCATAAAAAATCTAAGTGAATATGTATAACTGTGTAGCGGAAGCATAAGAAATCTATCAGTCCGGTTATAATAATAAGAATATATTAAAAAATAAAACTGGTATTTAACTGAATAAAACTGAGATAATTACCAGTTTTGTTTAATGCAAATGTATTTATTTACTTGTGAAATTTTCTTAAACAATTTACAGGGTTTCCCTGTTGTGACGTTAAAGCAAAATTTATTTTTCTCGGCTTCATGCGTAGTTTTGTGATCTCAAACTAATATTAATAAGGATCCGCCCAGACTACATTACAAACATTTTACCGATTATTAACTTTTAACCGAATATATAAATTATATCGACATATTGTTTATTTCACATAAAAAATCTGATGTGTACACCACATGACTTCCTTGTACGGAATACTAAATTATACGCATTTTTTCTTGAATTTCATTTAAATTGATTGGATTGAATTAAATCTACTTCGTCGACAGCGCAAACCACAATAGAATAAATGCATTCTTTAAAATTCACTATTTTTGTTTATTATAACGGCACTCTGAATGCACAAAATTTATATCATTTGAAGAATTATCGTTGCCACATGTTCTATTCAAATACTATAATAAAGCTAAAACGATGTATGAAAGAAATTAAGCAAACAAAACAGAAAAGAAACAGTTTTTCACAGACGATTTAGTATTTCTCATTCAATTAATTCAGCTCTCACTTCGCGACAAAGTAAAAATACATAAAAACTCAAAATATCTGCATTAAAAATTACGAAGTAAATTACACTTACTTCCTCGAAAAAATTTCAGAAAGGATTAAGCATGATTTAATTGACAATAATAAATGAAGGCGTTATCTTTGTTGTTGCGAAGCTAAGTTTCTCTATATTGGCAACAAATCCACTAGTCTGCTGTTTTAAATGTAAACAATCAATGGCCGCCATAAAAAAAAGGCTTAGCGGAACTTAAACGACTTTAAAATTGTTGATAATTCTAAAAATATTGCATACAGATTTCAATAACGGCATAAAACCCTTAACCGTAAGATAAGAACAACATAATTCAATCATTTTTAAAGCAGAAAACGTACAATTTACAAACATATAAGAGTAAAGAAATTGAGATCACTGAGACGGGTTACAGAGTGAATATAGGTGCGGCCGATTGCAACCAAAATACGAGGTGCACATCTACATGTTATAGCAGTCCTATATACAAAATTTCAACGTTCTGAGGCTACTCGTTTTTGAGTTATGCGAGATACGTACGTACGCACGAACGTACATACGTTCGTACAGACGCCACAAAAAATTCTCTTCAGAATTAATTTTAAAGCAGTTTTATAACTTTTTTTGCAGGAAAGGTGTCTTTTATTCTGTCCTTACGTACAGATATCACGCAAAAACATCGTTAAATTGCATTCGATAGCGGTCAAAATGGATATTTTCTTTGAAATATGTTGCCTGAAACTTTTCGCGATTACAATACTTCCTTTTTACTTCGTACAAGGAAGTAAAAAGCAAATAAGATATTTTCAGATGAATATCAATAAATCTCTACGTAATTTTTGATTTGCGAGTTATTTAAATCGCAGTCATTCTTACTTCAGATATTTGCAGTATTTTTAATTACTTGAAGGAAAAAATAAAGATTAGGACTTATTTCTGTACATATCTAGTTACACTGCAGCCCAAAGCACAATGAATGTCGAGTTGTATCATTGCAAAGATTCTTAAACTTAATAACTTCTAGTTTTGAATAATATTTGTAAATCAAGTCAGTCTCCTTTCCTAATAATCTTTTATTTGCTACAGGATAACTGAAGTTCGAAAAAAATCAAGTCTTGCTAATAAATCACTGATATAAAAATTCAGCAGTCTCAAATCGTCCTTTTCCATACAGTCCTTTGTAGCAGTAGCCAGAATATTGCCAGTTTATATGACAATAAATCTTGAATAATATATTAAGAAATATTTAAATCTTATTTAAAAATTAACACAGATTCTAAAAAGTATTTAATGCACGGCATTAGAAACAGGACACACATAGAAAAGATTTTTTTCTTCACACTTGAGCTGAAATACCTAGAGTTAATGTTTGCAACCGTTTGAATGATTTTGTTTCTTCAGACTGTGATTATTTCGTTGCAGAATACTGCACTACGATAATTCCAAAATAACAAATCCAACAAAGTATAATCCAGGCTTTGGCAGGTACAACGAACATATCAAATGCTTTCATTCCCTCATCCTTTAAAATACAAATTTAACACTATAATCAAGTCCTTTCATATAGACTCTGCTGCTAATATAAACTGTTGAATTAACTGTAACAACAAGGGTGCCCTCTGGTGAGTAGCCAGAGAAGGACTCCTGTAAAAGCCAAGTGTTTAAGCTGATAGGTTATTTCAGACTCTTGCTCTGTAATTTTCATAAAGTTAAATGTATTGTCCGTGTGTAACTTAACCTGTTAATGAATAATTTTTACACTATTAAGGAGTCTTATATGACCCTATGCAATACGACCCCCTTATAAAACTTATTTTATAAACATTACAAACTTGGCCCTGCTTTGTCCTAATGAAAAGCGAAACAATTGTGTCTTTCTGTGCAGTCTGCTTATTACGAATTCCAGCTTGTTTAAATACGCTTGACAAAAGTACACCGTTTCAGGAAATTCTGTATTATAGCAACTAATAAAGTTCTGTAAAATATACTTATCCTATTATCTAAGCTGTATTTAAACCTCCTGTTAGATACAGAAAGCCAGACGCAGAGATACTTACGTTCGTTTGCTGTAACTGACAGCCCAGTGTGGAAAATAACTACAATGAGCTAGAAACCAACTACTACGTGTATATATTCCACAACCGTTCAAAACGATATTAGAAGATCGTCCAAGCGTCTTCGGAAGCGCAACGTCAGCATCTTAGACTTCAGAATAATCGGCTGAATTCTTAAAACAAAGGTGAACAAATTTTTTTTTCGTTTTTTTTCCTCAATTGAAATTATTTTCATAACAACGGTGTATTATATTAAAAATTTATAGCAGGACGAATTCAATTATATATCAGATCTTTGGATTTCGTATGCCCGTGAATCAGAATATCCCTCAAAGTTTAAGTTTTATTTATGGTGAAATATGCTTGCATTCGTACATCTGCATGGAAACACTTTATTGCACATCAGATAGAAAATCATATCTTCTGCAGCGTAATCAGTCACATTTCTTACATTAAGAATATTTGCTGTTTTGATGCCTTATACAGAGAGAATGTTTCAGTTTGACTCCACAAATAAATATATCTGAGAATGTTAGTCGTAGACCTATAATCAAAAATCACTATTTACTTAAAGTGCATAAAATTTGAATATTCATATTGAGCTAAGGAGAAAGCGCTAGTTACAAAGCTGATTTATAACATCACACCTGGCGCAAAAAAATACACTTCGAATTTTACAACTTTAGTTAGTTTCGCATTAAAGAACATTGAATTGAAAATCGTTTAAAACTCAATTTTATGAGGTAATACAATGCAAATTTTAGAATTTCTAGAAATGGTTATTTTGAGACCAATGTTTCTAAATTCATATTTTCTGACGTGACAAATATCTCCTAAAAATGTGCATTCATAACTACAACATGCATTCAAAAGGAATTACTGTAACCATTAAAATGTATTCAAAAAGAATCTTTGCAAATAGTTACACAGATTCCAAAAACTTGATTAATTTTTCTTCGGTAATTTTGATTGAATCATATGATTTGATCATACGGAGATCATATCACAGATATATTTTAATTAATTTGTCTATGGAAATAATTTTAATGATTAACATATTTTCTGTAAAATTAATATAAAAATGTGTTTCCTAAAATGTGCTAAACAGCATCATTTGACCACATTTATTATAACCTTTAAGGCCTTTTAACAAATTTATTTCTCAGACTAGAACTATAAGTCTGTGACCAACCATTCAACAGGTAAATAGTCTTGCAACGTTTTTGAGACCTGTAAAATTTGCATAACATTACCGTTTCTTTAATAGTATATAATAATCTTGGTTGTGTTATGAAACCTCTGAGAATTTATAAACTTGGAAATAATAAAACTATAAACTTGGAAATTATTCATGCAAAAATTAACGTTATTGCTTGCAAACAAATTAACTTTTTCTTGATTAAAAAGTGCTCTAACAACATTTTTTGTTGTGTTTTTAAATAAAGTGGAGTATTTTAAAAAAACTCTAAATATTTAATCAAATTTTATAATCTTTTATACATTAACTTCCACAATGATGAACCTTACTTTACTTTAACTATTTTACTCTTAAAGTAAATGTATTTGCATAATTCAGTTTTTTAATTAACAGTAAGAAAAACTTTATAAATAAGGAAACATTCAGGGAAAGGGAAACTTGTAAATAAATTTTCCAAACAGAATTCTTCTTTGAAAGAGAGTTTTATTTTAAAAGGAATTATTAACGCGTACTTAGTTCACAACAATTCAAAATCTAAATGAATGCAACTCAGCACCATTTATTTATTACAAATGAAATTTAGTCATGTAACTGAAACATGTCACAGCTACTTTTACTGAAATAGTTTAAATACATACCAAATGCAGGATTAGTTCAATACA